AAAGCACATGCAGGAAGCAGGAGCAAGATACCCAGTTTTGCTTTGATTAAAATGGCTTTAGCAAATTATTATATTTTTCACACATTGTTATTTTCATTGATTTTAATCAAAGTATTTAGTTAGATAAAGAAATCGTTTTGATTTTCTTTGCAAAAAATCACGATTAATGTGATTGATTTAATCAAAACAACTCAGGATATTTAAAGTCATTTTCATTCGAGTAACGCAGGTCGGACTTACAACGCTAGAAACCGCGTTTCGATACTCGTGGTGGGCAGAGCACAGATAGCCCATTGTGTAGCTTTGTGCTTAACTTCAAACAAACACATCTTAATGGTGTTTCAGTACCGGAGATTTAAATAGTAAAAGATAATTGTGCATCATCATCATCATTGCATGCTATGTACCAAACAAATTATTTAAACACAAATCAACTAACACAAAAATTTTATTTGAGAGCAAAATTTCAGAAAAAAAAATGCCCTTCATCAGGATTTATATCATTACAGCCATATTCGGAGTTGTGCTATTGCGTGAAAGAAGCGTGTATTAATGCAGGCACAACAGAAATGAAATGAAAAGCTAAATCTCTGTTAAAACAAAACAGCCAGCTAATAAATACAGAACGTTCTTTTTCCATTTTTGTTCAGCGTCTGAACTTCTTGGATGTTAAAGCTGCAGATATCTCTGAGTAGCTTCCTTTTCTTAGGCCTTGATTTCGTTAAATAGAACTACGGTTAATATAAAATGAAATATAGAAAATGTGTTATGTTCTGGTCGAAACACTAATTTTGCGCTTCTCCTAACATAATCGATAATAAAATGCTTGGTACAACAGCTTTCTTACAGGGAACTAATTGATTAAATGAGGCACTAAGAACCCTTTGTGACAAACTTTAAATAATAAATTGTCTGAATTATTTAAATACTTCCAATCCGACTTTTGAATTAAACATCATTGGTTTACTGCAACTGCCATCATAAATGTCAATTTTTCCGTTGTATGTGACGTTGTAAGTTGAATTTAATAATATCTCAGCTCTTCCTAATCTAACGTTTACTGAATTTAAAGTACTTAGTTAAATTCAACCGAACGACCGGTTGACTGTTAAACTTTCAGCCAAGAGCAGTGATATGTTGTATTAAGAAAATGCTGTATATTTACATGGATAATCCAAGTACCTTGGAAAAGACACTAATTTAAATGTATAATGAAGTTGGCCATTTTATACCTCTTGAAGAACTAGAAGTTTAACAATTCAAGACTAGTTAAAACCTACCAGCAGCCACATTCGAGAACTTTATGATTTTCTTAAAGACTATAACTCTAATCTTCATTTAAGGTAAATAATTCCGACTTTAAAATCACGTTCGGTTCTACTTTCGTACTTGATAATTGGCTCAACTTCCTCACAGCAATAGTAGTGCTGATGACTTCGACAAAAGCCATAAATCAACTGCATATTTCACTTACTACTGTTTCAATAAACCATTCAGTCCGTACTGAAGAAGAGTATAAGCACTCCTACTTAACGTAAACCCAGGCGTCACTTCAATTGAAGAAGGATATAAGCACCAGTACTCCTACTTAACGTAACCTCATATGTCGTTTCAATCCGTATTGAAAACATATATAGCACTCCTACTTAACGTAAACACAGACTTTAATTCGTATCGAAGAAGGATATATGCGCCAGCACTCCTGCTTAACTTAAACCCAGACTTCACTTCAATCTGTACTGAAGAAGGATATATGCGCCAGCACTCCTACTTAACTTAAACCCAGACTTCACTTCAATCTGTACTGAAGAAGGATATAAGCGCTAGTACTCCTACTCAACTTAAACTTCACTTCAATCCGTCTTGAATAAGAATATAAACCCCAGTACTCCTACTTAATGAAAATCCAGACTCCACTTCAATTCGTCTTGAATAATATAAGCCCCAGCACTTCTATTAAATATAAACCCAGACATCACTTCAATCCGGCTTGAAGAAGAATATAAGCGTCAGCATCTCTACTTAATATAAAGCAATACTTCACTTCAATCTGTACTGAAAAAGTATATAAGTGCCAGAATTCCTACTTAACGTAAACTTAGACTTCAATCCGTATTCAAGAAGGATATATGCGCCAACACTCCTATTTAATGTAACCCCAGACTTCACTTCAATCCATCTTGAAGAAGAATGTAAGCCACAGCACTCCTATTTAATGTAACCCTAGACTTCACTTCAATCCGTCTTGAAGAAAAATGTAAGCCCCAGCACTCCTACTTAATGTAAACCTAGACTTCACTTTACTTACAATGTCTATAACCGTTTTACACTAGTTCTGACACTTCACAATGCACAATCTCGTATAAAATTACAGGATCCAAGAAAAGTGTGGAAAAGATTGGGTGATGCAATATTTTTTCCACCATTGTATATTTCCTCGGAGAAAGGAAAAGTTTTGATAGATATAAAACGATTTTAAAAAATTGATATGCTTGTAGCTTCATTGCATGTAAAAATATTTGCTACAAGAACATTTGTATACGTGATAAAATATCACGTTAGACTGTAGACGATCTTGTATCACACTCCTCTTGATTAAACTCTTATGTATTTCATATCAATAGTATATATATATATATATAAAGATGTTTTTGTTAGCTAGAAAACATTGTTTCGGATGTCTGAAATTCGGTGAGAAATTTCATTTGTAAGTTTTGGCCTACAGAGACCAAAACCTCTTTGAAATACACATAGTTTCGACAGTTTAATGTTGAATTTAAAACATAAGTAGCTAAGTGAAAAGTTTTTTCGGCCAAGTTGTTGCTGCAAAACTTCGCTTTCGTGTCAGCCTTCTTTTTTTTAATTACAATCCAGATGTCTAGTACATTTCCAATTTCAAATAAGAGGGAGTAAAAACTTAATATTCCTGACCTTTTCTTTCACCACTCGAAATGCTTTTCAGGCTTCTAAGGTTTACTAAAATGTTGCTTGCGGTTTAAATACATAATTGAATACGTTGCAAAAAGTTTAACCCTCGACTATATTAGTGTCATTACCTTGTAATAAACTATTTTATATTTCACTGTCATTTCAGAAACTGGTATTATGTTGAGAAAAACTTATGTAAATTAGATGCAAAAGAACGCTTATAGTAAGGTACAGTTTTAATCGCAGAAATTTAAAAGCAAGGTTGTGAATATTACAGAATAAAATTAAATACT